AGCGGGGAGGGGGACGCGCCCGGGGCGGGGGAGCACCGCGCGCCGCACCTTCCCCGTGCGGGGTTTCCTCCTTACACGTGAATATGGGGCACTCGATGAGCTGCACCAGCTTGTCCACCTCGGTGAGGAAATCCACGGTGACCTCCAGATCCCCGCTGGATGTGGCCGTTAAGGACGTCGCCTCGGGAAAGGGTGGCCCGGTGGCAGCAGATGGCTCGCCCGGGTGATGCCCGGCACGGACCGCGGCTCTGCCAAACCCTCCCTGCGACCCACAGCTCCCGTGGGAAGTGAGCAGGCAGGGAATGGGCAGGGCTAGCACGCAGGCAGGGCCGAAAGGGAACAGGACGAGCAGGCAGGGATGGGGGAAAGGCGGGCTGCCCAAAAAGCCAGCCGCTTGCCTAGCCAGAGAGCAGGCAGGAGAACGGTGCGAGGGAGGACGCTCGCTTCTCCCGGCCCTGGGATGGCACGGAGGCGACGCCGAGCGTCCCGGAGAAACCCCGGCGCGCGCCGGTAAGAGAACCTGAACACGTTATTGAGCTGCTCAGGGAGGCTCGGGGTTTGCCAGCAGAGGAAAAGAACCATCCTGCTGCAGGCAGACGGTGAGCTCACCAGGAACCACGCTGCGCCGGGCACTGCCTGCTCATCGGGCCCAGAGGCCAAAGCCTTCGTCTTCCGGGGAGGAAGAGGCTGCTGAGGAGCCTCCCCACCCAGGCAGGGCAAGGTCAGGGCTCAGCCAGCACACGTTTTCCTCTTTTTACACCACAAAAAGCGAGGACGACACAAGGGGAAGGGAGCTGGCGTGCCCTGCCCTCGCATCGCGGGGACGCCGCCCCGCTAATGATGGGCTGCTGGCCCGCAGGGTGACCTTGGTGGCCACAGAGGGACCAGCGGCCACCAGCCTCACAGAAAACCTCCAAAGGATACAATTTCTGGATGAGGTCGTAGGCGTGCTTGTAGTTCTGGGTGAGGAAGCAGAGGGACACGGTTGTCACGGGGTTGTGACACCAGGACCGGTACAGGCAGCAGAAGAGGTTACGGCTTTCCTGGGGAAGAGGGAGCCAGCAGGGTCAGGTCACCAGTGGTAGCAAGGACATGGCATGAAGAGCCCCGGGCGACCATCACCGGCCCATCCAGTGTGCAAGCACTGGTGCCAGTGCCACCCAGTCGCAAAGGGATGTTTCTGGACCCACCAAGTCCACCTGGCCCCGGCACGAGCCCACCAGCCCAGGAAGATGGAGACCAGGGGGCCTATGGGGTGGCCCTCGGGGCTGCTGCACCCACCGCAGGATGAGGGGCTGGCCCAGACGAGGGGACACTGCTGCATCGCTGGCCTTCAGCATGAGGAGGAGGAGAAGTCTTCCTCCCTCTCCCTGCCTTGCTTGGATGTCACCGGTGCCAGCGGCAGCTGCTCGGCAAACCCTGTGGGTGCGTTCCCGGCAGGGACAGCTGAGGGACCGGGGGGCTCTGCTCCTGCTGTCACCTGTCCTGTTGTGGGACGTAGGGAGGGAGGTGGCAGCTGCTTGAGGGCTCGGGGAGCCCGTTCCCGTCCCAGGGGAGAAAAGTAAGAGCTGGGCACGTCCTCCAAACCCTCCCAGCTCCTGAGGAGGAATGAAGGGGCCACCCCGGGTGCCTGAGCTCCAGCTCTGGGACCTGCCAGGTGGGGACCGAACAGCAAGACACATCCCCAGGTCCCTGCCACCCTCAGTACGTCCCTCCTAGCAGCTGAGCCTGCTCCCGCAACCCATACCGGCGTCTTCAGGTCCTTCAGTTGGTTCCTCAGCTGGAAGAGCTCGGAGGACGTCAGCAGGATGGTGTTCAGGGTGTGGACCATGGTCGAGGCGAACTTGAGGTCCTCTTCCCGAAGCAGTATGTCTGCCATGGAGTGGAAGATGTTTTCTGCGTTCAGAAGTAGACAAAGCTGCCTGCGTATCACAGAGGACAGAAACCGAGGGGCGGAAGGATGGTTAACGAGGGCAGCCGAGACCCTGACCCGAGCCTGCGCATCCCCTCCTTGCCGCAGAGAGGACTAGGGTGACAGATACGGGTGCCCCAGAGGCTGGGCGAGCATGGTGGCACCACCCAGGAGATCTCATGGGACAAGACCAGGCTCTGCGTTTGGAGGGTGCAGCTACTCACACCAGGGCAAGGCCAAAAAACATAGCTGGGCGAAGACACCTCCCCGGCCGTGCTGCTCCGCCCCCCCCCCCCCCCCCGCCACTGCAGCTTGCTCCCACCTCCAGCCTCCCAGCAACCTCCTTCGAGAGCTTCCAGCATCATTATCCACCCCGAATAACGCCAGCAGTGTGGTTACAGATTGGTATGTGATGGCCCAGCCAGACCAGTATCCCTTCGACACCGGGGAACTGGTAGGGCGGGAGCGTGGCCGCGGGGGACGCCCGGAGCCAGAGCGTGCCTTTCCCTCCATGCCCCCCCTTTCTGCCAGTAACCTGCCCTGTTGCTCTTTGAACCCCTTCACGCTCTGGCTCCCAGGAAATCCGGTGCCGAGGGGCTCCGGAGCTCCAGCCTGCGAAGCTGGAA